TCCGCGTGGAATTTTTTTCTAGTTATATTTTCTTTAGATTTAAACATCAAGCAGTTACATGCTTTAAAAATAATAAAAATTATAACTATAATTGCTATTTCTTCTTTCAAATGTTTAATACTTGTAAAAGTATTCATTTGACATTGTGGGTTTACCTATAATGCGAAGAGATGGCGCTGCCTTGCAGCTTAAGAATAGCTAGAAAGAATTTCGACGCGGTCCGTGAGGGCCGCGGTAGCATAATTGGTCAGTGCATTCGCCCGGATTGCGAAGGGTGCGGGTTCGAGTCCCGTCTGCTGCCTGGTCCGCGTGGAATTTTTTTTCTAGTTATATTTTCTTTAGATTTAAACATCAAGCAGTTACATGCTTTAAAAATAATAAAAATTATAGTGTCTTAAGTGCCTGAGGTATGGACATATTGCCAAATTTTGTAAGAATGCAGAACGATGCTCCATATGTGGTGAGTCACATAACTTTAAACTCTGTACAAAATCAAGTCAGGATGCTGTATGTTGTCATTGCAAGGGGAACCATGTGGCTATTTCGTCACAGTGCCCTGTAAAAAAAGAAAAAATATTATTAAATAGAGAAAAGGCTCAGAATAAAACATACTCTGCTGTAATTAATGAGAAATCATTCCCTCCCTTGAAACAAAGCCCCACTGATATGCTAGCATTGCTATTAAACTCTGATTTTATTTTGAATATGGTTGTAGAGTCAATTGTCAAATTAATAACAATGAACAAAAACAATGAGACAGCTATTTCCACACAGAGTATAAAAGATACTCTCTTGGAAACAATAAATAAAAATAAGAAACAAAACACTTAATCTTTTTTTTTTATGGATTTTTTAAATATAATGCAATGGAATGCTCAGAGTTTACCTGCACACAGATACTTATTAACAAATTTTCTACAAGAGAATCAGATTCATGTAGCTTTGATTTCTGAGACATGGTTAAAACCACACATTCAGTTTACTCTCAAAAGTTATGATATAATTAGACTAGATTCAGGTAACCGCCATAATGGCGTTGCCATTTTTATTCATAATAGTTTGCAATTCCATAAGATAGATACATCATTTGATGATTCAATTCAAAATATAGCTGTAAGATTGTATTATGGAAATCAAGAAATTTCTCTTGTGTCTTTATATAGTCCAGGTAACTGTAACCCTTCATTTTCTAAATCAAAACTTGATTATTTAATCAGCAGTATCCCTGGGCCTTTGCTGATTGCTGGCGATTTTAACGCCCGGCATACCGCATGGGGCTGTAGCTCTATTGATTCACGTGGGCGCGATATTATTGAAAGCATCAATGACAACAACTTAGTACTCCTAAATGATGGTCAGCTGACAACTGTTGGCTCTAGTGTATGGCAAAGGAATGCTTTGGATTTAACACTAGTATCACCCTCTTTGGCTTTGAGATGTGAATGGTCTGTTTCTGATGACCCTTTAGGCAGCTACCATTTACCTGTAATTACAAAATTAGAAATTAGTAATAATAAAGACTCATTTGAAATTTACTTGCACTCCCTACATATTTTAATTTCCGTCTAGTAGACTGGCAAAAATATAGTGAAAATGTAGATTTCTTATTAAATAACAATTTACAATTTGACCAGTCTAATCCATTAAAATGTTATTCAGATATGGTAATATTATTAAATCTAGCGCTGCAGCAGTCTGTTACTCACACTAGTAGACAGTTTGTTCAACCACAAATATCAGTTCTAAAAGCTTTTAAGAAACATGTTTCATTGCCTTGGTGGAATAACAACTGCAAAACAGCTGTAGATAATTGTAGGAAAGCTTATACCGAATTTAAGCATAACCTCTCAGAAGAAAGTTACCTTAAGTTTAAAAAGTTACAAGCTTTGAAAAAGCTCATTTTAAAAAAGGAAAGGAACTTAAGCTGGATGTCATTGTGTGAATCACTTAATCGATGTACTCCTATTTCAGAGCTCTGGAGGATTGTCAGGAGGTTTAATGGTATTTCTGTTCCATCTAAAAATGTATATAGTGAATGGGTACCAGAATTTCTCAAAAAATATACACCAGATACCGTAGAGGTCCCTTTGACATTTGTAAATAGGAATCCTGTACATAATTGTAAATACTTAGAAATGCCATTTAACATACAAGAATTTAAAACTGCAGTTTCTACTCGTAGGGATACAGCTCATGGCCTCGATGGTATTCCTTATAAAATGCTAAAATATACTACAGATAAAACAAAGAATATCATCTTAAAAGTTTATAATTTGTTATGGTCTTGCTGTGTTATACCTATTGACTGGAAAAAAGATTGTTTGGTCCCCATTTTGAAACCAAATAAAGATAAGACTAAAGCAAATTCATACCGGCCAATAGCATTGACATCATGTATGGGAAAAGTATTTGAACAGCTACTCAAACAAAGAGTTGAATTTTTCATTGAAAGCAATAATCTATTACCTTCCAATCAATTTGGTTTTCGCAGGGGCCGATCCTCTAGAGAGAGTATAGCACATCTTCAACTAGACATTTTTGATGCACTTAAACAAGATGAAGTCCTTATTGGTGTGTTCTTTGATGTTGTTGGTGCTTTCAATAATGTAAATTCTCATATTTTAGAACGTGAACTTTTTTCTCTTGGTTTTCCTGAAAAAGTAGTTATGTGGATTTTTAATTTTTTGCATGGTCGTGAGGTTTATGTCAAGTCTAATAATCAATTAATAGGACCACGCTATTCATATAAAGGTGTCTGTCAAGGAGGAATTCTATCTCCATTGTTTTACATTCTTTATGTACACAAACTAAACATCATTTTAGGATCACAAGTAAAAAACTTGCAATTTGCTGATGACTTGGTCATTTACCATTCAGGTTCTGATATTCAACAGGTAACCTCTACTATAAATAGAGCACTTTTAAAATTAAATGAATATTTCAGTTATTTAAATTAAGATATTAGCCCTGACAAATCTAAAACAGTTGTATTTGGTGATTGTGATACAAATGTTGATATTGTATATAATAATGTCATTGTCCCTGTAGAGAGTGAAGTAAAATTTTTGGGTGTTATTTTCACCAATAATCTTTCATGGAAAAAATATGTAGAATATCTTTTGGGGAAAGCTTACAAAGCCTACAATGTCATAAAATGTTTATCAAAAATTGACCCTAAAATATTATTGATGTTATACAAGTCAATTGTTAGAAGTCACTTTGAATATGGATTTTTATGTTTTGGATCTGATTCTCAATTAGTAAGAAAATTAGAAGTCTAGCAGAATCATAATCTTAGATGCATAACGGGTGCTATGAAAACCTCTCCTATCAACTCTCTGGAAGTAGAATGCAATACACCTCCACTTCAATTAAGATTTAAATTTTTAAAATCAAAGTTTTTGATTAAATTACTGTCATTTCATTCCCATCCATTAATTAAAAAAATTAACTTTCTATATGGAATATACTCTCCAACTAATATGTCTAGGATCCCTTATTTGCTTCATGACTTCTCAGAATATATTAATTACAACCAGCAGTACAACATTAATAAAACTGAGCATAATTGGATATGTTACAAAGAAACTTATGATATGCATTTCTGTGACATAAGCATCCATATATCGCCCGACTTGAAATTTAAAGAAGAAGTTTACAAAAAGATTGATAAGTTTTCCAATCATAAACATATTTATACAGACGGTTCCAAGAATGATGATAATGTTTCAATGGCGATTTACATACCTCATTTGAAAACGGGTCTAGGGTACAAACTTCCAAGCCAGATGAGCATATTTTCTGCGGAGTGTCTTGCAATTCTTTCTGCATTGGAGTTTATAGAGGAAAATATTCAGGAGTGCACTCAATGGTTGGTGTTAACAGACAGCATGAGTTGTTTACAAGCTTTGCGAAACAATAGATTTGACTCTGGAAGTAATTTTATTTTACATGATATTAAAAAAATGTACCACAAACTTAAAGTCCTCAATGTACAAATAGTTTTAATGTGGGTTCCATCGCACATAGGAGTCATCGGAAATGAGAAAGCTGATACGTTAGCCAGAACCATTTTAAATCGAAGCAATGATGACGTTGACTTTAAAAATGTTGCCATACCTTTTTCAGATTTATTACCCAAACTAAAACTTTTGTTAAAACAAGATTGGTTGATTAATTGGCATCAAACGCTAGTAATAAAAGGAAAATGGTATCATAAAATTAATAATGTAATTGGTCAACATCCATGGTTTACAAAATCTAAAGAATACCATAGTCGGAAATTTTATACGACCATCACACGCTTGAGAATTGGACATGGACGTTTTAATTCACATTTATATAGAATGAATATAATTACATCTCCGTTATGCACAAACTGTAATTTAAATAAAGATCAAACACTAAACCATATATTTTTTGAATGTACAGCATATAATATACAAAGACTTGTTTTAGCTGACAATTTAATTAAATTATATAAAACTAATAATGAAATCCCGCGCGACATTCAAGACATTGTTATGAATCCAAAATCATACAAATATCTATATATTTTTTTAGTTTCCATAGATATGGAACTTTAAAAAATTTTCATGACTTTAAACAAATAAGATTGAAAGAAAGAAGATTCAAATTGAAAGAAGATTCAAAATCGGATTTGAAAATTTGGGGGAAACAATAAGTACCTAAACTGAAAATGGATTAGAAAGACTATTTAGGACAAATATCTTATGATTAAAGAAGTGGCTTCGGCCTTATAGAAAAAAGAAACAAAAAAAAAATCCTTTAAATGAAGACTATGGCTGCATGGCTCTGCCTTTGCCTTTCCCAAGATGGGAAAAAAGATATAAAAAAAAAAAAAGAAAAAAGCGCGGGAACCTTCGAACTGTAAAGGCGGAAAATTTTAATTTTATCGTATTTAATTGTTTTTAAGGTTGAAGTCAAATCAAAAGAAGCAAATTCGTTATTATTATTTAATAATACACAGGTAATCTAATATGGGGAGGAACAAAGTGGGCAAGAAGCGGAAGAAAACTGAACCAGATAAAGATGACCCTGATGGACTCCAGGTGGACTCTACCTCTTCGGATTCTGATGAAGATGGGGAGGAGAGCCTTCGCGTCCCATATTACGTCACAGACTATACACGCCAATACCAGGAGGATTCAATGAACTCAGAATATGTGGTCTTTGTAGAGTCGGCAGATACTCAGGGACCCATAGGAACAAGGGATCTACTTTCACTGTCAAACTGCCTTAGACGATATATAAAGGGAGTAAAGTATCTACGTTCAATTAATAAATACAAAATTGGAGTATATTTTGAAAAACCAAATTTGGCCAACGCTTTATTAAATAATAAAACTTTTCTAAATGACAATAATTTAAGAGCAATCATTCCAGCATCAGCAGCAGAAATCACTGGAATAATAAGAAACGTCTCAACTAAATATAGCAATAAGAAAATTTTTACATTACTCTCAAGCTTCAAAAAAATTATAAGTGTAAGACGTTTCTTTAAAAAGGTGTATAATGATGGTTCTGGTTTTTCCCTTCAGCCAACACAAACGGTTGCAATCACTTTCGCTGCTTCTCATCTGCCAGACTTCGTCGATTTGGATGGATGGAGGCATAGTATCACAACATATATACCACCAGTGAAACAATGCTACAGGTGTTTGAGGTATGGTCACATTTCAAAGTTTTGCAAAAATGCAGAAAAGTGTTCCATCTGTAACAATAATCACAACTTTAAAGAGTGTACAATACCTAAAGAAAAGGCCATTTGTGCCCACTGTAATGGAAATCATATTAGTATTTCCTCACAATGCCCAGTTAAACAAAAGAAAATTAAAGAAAACAGAGATAAACATCATCCACCTACATTCGCAAGTTTATTTAACAATAACAATTTTCCTGAAATTAAGCCCACACACACTAATGTTAAACACAATGATCCCCAAAACTTATTAACTATGTTAAATTCAGATTCACTATCAATGGAAATACTCATGGAAACAATAATTAAATTAATAACTTTAAATAAGACTAAAAGCACAGCAATTTCCTCAAAAAATATATTAGAAGTATTAACTGAAACTCTTTGCAACAAAAGCAAATCTAATCAAAATTCACTCAATTAAGGTTGATGCAATGGAATGCACATTTTACAATTAAAGGCTATACAGTGGAACGTAATGATTGTGGCAACAAACACAATGGAGTTGCCATCATCATTAGCAATACAATATGTTATAATAGATTAACTACATACTCTGATGATTCAATACAAAACCTAGCAGTGCAAGTTAAAATAAACAATAAACTACTAACTATTGTCTCTATATATTGTCCAATTAATAGCACACCTAGATTTAACATAAGTAAGTTCACTAACCTCATTAATGAATTACCTAAGCCAGTATATATTGCCGGTGACTTCAATGCTCACCATACCATTTGGGGCTGCCACACAGTGGATGCTCGAGGCAGAGATATATTAGATAGTTTAGAGAATTGTGACTTGATCTTATTAAATGATGCACAAGCAACTACTGTTGGCACTGACACTTGGAGACCAAATGGTTTAGATCTCACAATGGTGAGTCCTGTTATGGCATTGAACTGTGACTGGTTTGTTAATGATGATCCTCTAGGAAGTTACCACTTACCTACGTTAACTCATATTCATATTAGTATAAACCCTACAACGGCTTCAACCACAAACCTTACGTCAACACCACCTTCGCTTAGTCAATTGGGAACATTACACGCAATTAGCAAACGAAACATTAAAAAGTCTTTCTGTTTGTTCTAGCGATCCTTTATTTTCTTACAATCAAAAACAAAATCATAGAATTCACGTTGACAGTGACAGTGACAATCCACATGTTTATAAGAATGGAGATAGGGATAAACGTTTTGTTTCTCCTTATCCCCATTCTCGTAAAAGGAGACATTTTGCTGTCCCTTGGTGGAATGAAAATTGCAATAAAGCAGTACAAAATAGTAAGGAAGCTTATATTAAATTTAAAAACAACTCATCGCAGGAAAATTATGTCAACTTTAAAAAAATGCAAGCACTTAAAAAAATTATTATAAAAAAAGAAAGGACCACTAGTTGGAAGGAATTCTGTTCTGATATAAATAGATCATCACCACTATCTAAAATTTGGCAAACTATGCGTAAATTTAACCGGAGCTTTATTCCTCCAATTAAAGACGAAATTCCATCTTGGGTAAACGACTTTTTACGAAAATACACACCTGATTTTGTAGAAGTTGCACCTTTTCCCTCAGATCTGCGATTGAACTCTAATTCCTGCGATATCACTAATAGTACGAATGATTACCTAACTTCACCTTTCACTTTGTCTGAATTATCTGCTGCAATAAAATCTAGAAAAGATACAGCTTGTGGACTAGATCTTATATCCTACAAAATGTTAAAAAAGTTAGACTGCAATAGTATCAAAAAACTCTTAGCCATATTTAACGGCCTTTGGGAAAATAGTTTAATTCCTGATAACTGGAAGATAGATTGTTTGATTCCTGTAATTAAACCAAATAAATCCAAGGCTTGTGCTGACTCATATCGTCCTATAGCTTTATCTTCTTGTATGGGTAAAATTTTCGAGCAATTATTGAAACACCGTCTTGAATTTTATAAAGAAAGTAATAATTTACTCCCAAACAACCAGTTTGGATTCAGACGTGGCCGATCTGCCCGCGAAAGTATAGGATGTCTTCATACTGACATACAAAATGCACTCAATGACAACAATATAATGGTGTGTATATTCCTTGACATTGTTGGTGCCTTTAATAACGTGAATTTGTCTGTACTATCAACCACACTTTTTAGATTAGGTATTCCATATAAGATGGTTAAATGGTTATTCAACTTTCTTAATGGTCGACAAGTTTACGTAAAAATCAATAATAATTTACATGGCCCTCGACTTTCCCACAAAGGAGTTTGTCAAGGTGGAATTCTAAGCCCTTCATTGTATATATTGTATATTCATAGATTAAATGAAATACTCGGGCGAGATTTTACAATTTCGAATTTGCAGTTCGCTGATGACTTAGTTATTTATGCAAAGGGTTCTAAACTTTCGTCATTGGAACCCAAACTAAACAATGCCCTTTCACAATTGTATTCCCATTTTAGATACCTAAACCTAGATGTTAATATAAGTAAAAGTAATGTGGTTGTTTTTAGGAAAAGATTTGTAAACGTGTCTAACTTAAAATTACTTTATAACGGTCAAACTTTACCCGTTTTGAAATCAGCAAAATTTATTATATTAATCAGTTATTTTTCAACAAAACCTATCGTGGAAAGCTTATGTCGATTGCTTGATAGACCGTTCTATGAGGGCTACCAACGTATTAAGATCCCTTGTTGGTTACCAGTGGGGCGCCGATCCTAAAATTCTGCTTCTGTTGTATAAAACTTTAGTCAGAAGTCATTTCGAATATGCTTTTTTCTGTTTTGTATCTGACAAAAAACTAACAAATAGATTAGAAAAAATACAAAATAAAAATCTAAGAATTATTTTAGGTGCTATGAATACCTCACCAATAAATTCTATGCAAATAGAATGCAATTTGCCCCCTTTGCATATACGTTTTGAATTTCTCAATTGTAAATTTTTATTAAAAGTAATGTCTATAGAAAATAGTTTACTTAGAAATAAACTTAGTGCATATAATACCAATTCCTTTTTACATAATGGTGTAAATAATATTTCGAGAGTTATAGATGATAATAATGTATATATTAGTGATAGGTTGCCTTGCTATAAAGGTGTGTATAAAAGTAAATTTCAGGAAATAAATATAGTAATAAATAGGGATCTTTCTTGTAAATATGATGTTTATAACGAGTTAAATGTATGGGCTGAATATATAATAGACAGTTGTACACCGATGGATCGAAGAATAATAAAAATGTTTCCATGGCGTTTTATGATTTGTACACAAAAATTGGCCATGGCTTGAAATTACCAAGTCAAAGTAGCGTTTATACAGCGGAAGCAATGGCTATATTAGCAGCTTTAGAATATATGTCAAAATCTAACCATAGTAAATGGATCATAATAACAGATAGCATGAGTATACTCCAAGCCTTATCAAACCCAGCGTTTTCTTCAAAATCCAATTACACTATACACGAGATCAGAGAAAAATATTGTCAACTAACAACAAACGGAAAAGACATCATTTTGTTTTGGACTCCATCACATATAGGCGTTTACGGAAATGAACTAGTAGATACACTGGCAAAGATTATAACTAACACGGCTGAAAATGTCCCTGTGAAAAACATAAAGATTCCTGATTCTGATATAATTTCTAAAAGACAAAATAAAGAAGACATGGTTAGATCATTGGCATGAAACTTTACAAACTAAAGGTGTTTGGTATCATAATATTAATAACACAATCAGAAAGCCGTGGTTTGCTCAGAGAAATTTCATACACCGAAAATTTTACACTACAATATGTACACTGCGACTCGGACATGGATGCTTTAACGAACATTTATACAGAATGAACACGGTCTCCTCCCCATCATGCTCGTTCTGCAGATTCTCAAGTCAGTCACTTCATCATTTGGTCCTCGAATGCCCTCATTTTGCTCTTCAACGAATATTTCTCAGTAATAGTTTGCTTGAAATCTACAATTCAGCCGAGAACAGCCCGCGTTCCTTACCTGTACTTCTCCAAAACCCACAATGTTATTTGTCGCTGTATAATTACATCAAGAGTACTATAGAAGATATTTAAACTTGGATTTCGAATGATTCTCTATGAAGACTTGAAGAAAAGAACTTTTAGTCTTGGCTGTATGGCGCATTTTGTCGTCTTTGCCTTTTCCGTTTAATGAACGGAAAGAACAGAACCAAAAAAAAAATGTCAATAATAGAAATGTCAAGAATATTTTGGACTTTTTGACGGAGGGTTTTTTGGCGGGATTTCATCGAGCGCGGTTGGCGTCTTATTTTAATTATTCTTAAATTCGTTCATAATGGATATTGTGAAATAAAATTGGTGTGGTTTTGTGTAATAACCGTTAGGTAACTGAAGAATTAGTGGAATCGTTAAAATATACGCTATTCCGGTCAAGTGGACGTGAGAATTTTATTGTAGTGTTGACTACCTCACAGAAGCTTATCGAAAAAGCCAACTCGATACATTTCGTGCCAAACACTCCAAGAAACATTAGAATGCGTCACACCGACATTCTAATGTAAAAAAAATAGAAGATTAATTTAATTAAAGACTAGGCTGTATGGGCATTGTTCCCTTTGCCTTCCCTAAAACGGGAAAACTTCAACAAAAACTTTTTGACGGACTTCCGAGGCGGGAAGTTTAATTTTCTTTTTCGTTGAATAAAAATTTTATTTTCCTTGTTTACTAGCTTTTTAAAAGAAATGAGTTCCGAAAGTGGTGGTAGTAAAAAGAGAAAAGCTGAAACCCCAGTTACTAATCTCTCCGATGATGAAAACTTAAACCCTTTTGCACCATATTTCAAGCAGAACCACATCAGAAGCTATCCAGAGAATTCTCCCTGTACTGTCTTTCCTGTTTATTTTCAAAGCAGTAATGAAAACATTAAATTTGGCAACAAAGACCCCATTTATTTAAACAATATATTCAGCAGATATAACAAAGGAGTCAAGGAAATCAAACGAGTCAATGCACTACGCTATACTGTTTTATTTGATAATCCAAAAAATGCTAACTCTCTTCTGGCTAACACTACATTTCTGTCACAACATGAGCTTAAAGCATTCATTCCAGCCTCAAACTCCGAATGTATTGGAGTAAATCAAGTTCATCCCGACCAACTTGAGTTGCAAGCACCTCTTTGACACTTTAAATACATCTCAAGAAATATTATCTGTTCGCAGATTTACAAAGAAAACTCCAGAAGGTGTGGTTGGACTGCAAACTGTGTCTATCACATTTCTGGGTAAAGTACTGCCTTCCCATGTCACTTATGGTCTATGCACCTTACCTGTGGAAGAATATGTGAGACCTGTTATACAATGCTATAAATGTTTGGCCTTTGGACATACAACTAAGTATTGTAAAAGAAATGTTGTATGTTCAATTTGTGCTCAATCTCATCATTATAAAGAATGTACTGTTGACAAACCTTCTTGTATCAACTGCAAAGGTGAGCATATTGCTGTATCCAATTCATGTCCTATTAAACAAGCCAAAATTAATGAAAATAAGTCAAAAATATTTAATAGACAGACTCTTGGTGCATATTTCCCATCTTTACCAACAAGTTACGCTACAACAACAAGCTCACCTATGCCAGCCAAAATTAAAAAGATTAATAAAAGTGAGAAGGACATTATATCCGAAATTTTAAATAATGAAAAAATCCTTAAAGCCATGATAGAGACACTGTTATGTTTTTGTAGTAAAGAAAATGACTTACCAATAAATTCTACGACAATTAAAGAAATATTCATTAAAAATTTTAGTTGTAACAATGGATAATAGTCAGATAAAGGTAATACAACACAATATACAAAGTTTAAAATCCAAATCAGCTGTTTTTAGAAGTTGGCTTGCGCCTAAAGATGTTGTTAGGGACACGAAAAAAGTATCGATACTTTGTGGTATCGAGTACTTTTCCTTTCGATACCGATACTTTTGTACTCGATACTTTGTATTCGATACTTTTACTTATTGAGTACTTTTTGGCAAGTAAGTATCGATACTTTTAAAATTTGGACAAGCGCCTCATATTGTTATGATATATTCAAATTTTTTCCAATCTGTGACTGTGTTTATTTTGCGCTTTGTTTTGTTTCATAGTTATTTATTTAGCGACCATATTGTTAGGAATTGTGATTGATGATTCGCCGTTTATTGTGCTTTTCGCTTGACTGCATTTGATGTATTCAAGTATAACACTATTATTCTGTCTGTGCTGTGTATACCTATTTGAAACCACGGACCTGAAAAAAAGACGGACGTAACCTCTTCTATAATTATAATATTGAATGAAGCATGCCAATGGCCGCCGTTAACTGCGTGTCAGATTCAAGTAACATTTTAATTATTAATGTGATATTAATGAACACTTTTTAAGTGTCAGAAATCACAGCTATTTTCTTTTCATTATATAATATAGCAATTTGTGAATTTATATGTCCTTTTACTGTTATTATACGTACTATAATAAAATTGGATTGTTTTTCTTTCAATTTTTAACCCGGGTGGGGGGGGGGGGGGGGTTGCTCATCGGGCCACAGAGGATCCGATAAGGCCCTATGAAATGTACTCGATACTTTGAAGTATCTATACTTTTGTTTCGATACTTTTACGACTACGATACTTTTTTACCGATACTACTCATGAGTACAGTATCGATACTTTCTATTCGATATCGTGTCCCTAGATGTTGTGAATTTTAGAGGTTACAATTTGTTCAGAAAAGATTCCGCAAACGGCTATGGTGGTGTTGCCATCTTATGCAGAAAAAATATAATTAGTTCAGTTATTGATACATATAGTAGCAATAGTATTCAAACAATAGCGGTTAGCATTAAAACATTAATTGGCAAAATAACTTCATTAAATGTTTATTGTCCTCCAAGAAATGGTCGCTTTCCCATAAATACTTTGAAAAATATTTCACCATTACTAGTTATGGGTGACTTTAATGCACACCACACAGCATTTGGTTGTTTGTCGAATAAGCCTCGTGGTATTCAGATTTATGATATGCTTGATGAAACAAATATGTTCCTATTAAACAATGGAGAAGTTACTACTCTAAACCGTCCTTATCAATCTGCTTCCGCGATTGATTTAGCGTTTGTTTCCCCTAATTTAGCTCCATCCATAGAATGGTCAGTATATACAGGAGATACACTGGGCAGTTATCATTTTCCTACTATTATACACTTGGATGTCACACTTGAAATATTTAATTATAAACGTTCTACTGATAAATTTTTGTATAACAAAGCAGATTGGTCAGGCTATGCATTAAAATCTGAACTACATTTCAATAATTTATTATCAGAGCGCGATCCTTTGATGGCCTACAACAAATTTTGTGAGTTTGTAAATTTATTAAGAGATGAATTTGTACCCTTGTATAGGAATAAATGTCACGACGTTAAATATCACAAACCTGTTCCATGGTGGAATGAGAATTGTACAAATGCTGTCAAGGAAAGTAAATTAGCATTATATGTATATAGGAAATACCCAACTATTGAGAATTATTTAATATAAAAAAAGTCGATGCTAGGAAAAAACGAGTAATTAAACAGCAAAAAAAAGAATCTTGGCAAAAAATGTGCTCAACCTTCGATAGAAACACACCTATTAGTCAAATATGGAATATTTTCAAAGTATTTAATAGAAAAAAGACTTCAGCAAGGCAACAAGATGATAGTTTTGTAAATGCTTTTTTAAACAGAATCACCTCAAACCAACCCCCTGTAAATAACGATACTTTAAATGATGTTTTCAATAACAATGAACTAAATGATCATTTGATAACACCGTTTACTGCTGATGAATACATATTTTCATTAAATAAAAGAAAAGATAGCACTCCGGGGCTAGACAATATTCCATATGTCTTAATAAAACGGCTTCATTCTGCAGCTAAAATGGTTTTGCTACATATATTTATATAACAGTCTATGGCAACAAAACATTGCCGGAGACTTGGAGAACTATAGCAGTTGTCCCTATTTTAAAACGCGATAAGGACCCATTATCAGACGAATCCTACAGACCCATATCACTTTCTTCCTGTCTATGTAAATTATTCGAAAATATGTTAAAAACTAGATTAGAGCTCTATGTAGAATCGAGGTCTATCATTCCTTCAGATCAATTTGGGTTCCGTAAAGGACGTAGTACTACAGACAGTTTGGTTAAATTTTGCGGAGATATACAAAATGCCTTTTTTAATAACAGTTACTTAATTTGCACTTTCCTTGACGTTACCGGTGCTTTCGATAATGTAAATTTATCTACGCTAGTCCACATTCTTCATTCTATATACCTTATTCTACTTTATTCAATATACCAGGGAAAATATGTCAATGGATCTATAATTACTTCAATTCACGTTCTGTTTATGTCAAATATAATAATATTCTACACGGTCCAAAATTGGCACATAAAGGAGTAATGCAAGGGGCCACTTTCTCACCCTTAATGTATTTATTATATACGTCATTGTTACATAAATATGTGCATTTAAAAAAATTATCAGTTCTTCAATATGCAGATGATATTGTAATTTATACAAAAAATAAAAAATTAACACAAGGTGTAAATTCATTAAACGAAGGACTAGATTCGCTTTGTTCTTTTTATAAAGATATGCTCC